TTAAGAATAGCTGAGACATACACAGAATGACTGTGCAAAGTGTTTGTGTTTCGAATGAGGCACAGTTTGACATAGTTAACCTCATGCGATTGTTGAACAGTTGGAAGCTGAACGCTGCAAATTAAAATTACTTTCCTTGACCAGCCAGAACAATCCTTTATTTCGTCAAGGCTCTAATTCTTTTCACTGGAGAGGCAGCTAACTCTTCTTCTTTAGTAAGGCTGGGAACTTGGTACAATATGTTCCCAAATCTTGTAAGATTGCTGTGGGTATTGTGAGAAGACCACTCATCTGTCAGGCTAGTCCAGTCGTTCTCAACCTATTTACGAATGTGGGATGCAGCCATTACTCCCTGTATGGCCCTGAGGATGTCACATGGGCTGCAGCTCGAGAATCACTGGGCTAGTCCCTTGCACTAGCACCCCCTGTCTGTTAAACTCATTTTTGCATCCAGTACCATAGGTCATTGATTGGTCCATGCATATCCCTTGTGCTGGCCTCTGTAAAGGGGTTGAATTTCTCCCTGCAAACACATCCCTTAAGCCACACATTTGCTAGGCTCGCTCTACCTTTCAAGGTCCATGGATGCATTCGTCTCTCTTCTCCTTGCTAGTGAAGCCTAGGGGCTGAGAGACTTCTGCTCTGTGTGGACCTCATTGAGAGATGGAGTTACCATTACCAACATGCAGTGGAAAAGTGGTACAGACTGTTCTCTTGGCAAATAAACTCCTGCAAATACAGGAGCCAAGGGAGCTGCTGCAATGGAAGGACTATTGACAACTTAAATAGCAGGGTCATTTGGAAAACACCGTGTGCACCTGCGCATGAGGTGAGCCTGGGGCGGGATCTGTCCATCAGTGAGGGGAATGAGAAATGATTGAGGAGCACGGACCGGACACTAAACCTGGTCTTTCATTTGCTTTGGATTGATCGGAAGGCCACCAGACACCCTAAGGGCTAACTGCGCCCATGTGCGGAAGACCCAGCCGAGTCAATGGGAGCTTCAGGCACGTACTCTGCGCAGGAGCAGAATTCAGCCCGAGCATCAGAGGAGGCTGCGGAGCAGGCAAAAGGTTCCACATTGTTTCCCTCACCCCACCTTTAGGTCACAAATACCTGGATGGCTCGTTCGCTGACCACTGCAGTTTTTTAGTGAACTGGTGCACCAGGAAAGTCCCTCCCATGCTACATCTCTGACATGTCTCCTACATGGAATCATAGAATATCAGGGTTGGAAGGGACCTCAGGAGGTCATCTAGTCCAACCCCCTGCTCAAAGCAGGACCAATCTCCAATTTTTGCCCCAGATCCCTAAATGGCCCCCTCAGGGATTGAAATCACAACCCTGGGTTTAGCAGGCCAATGCTCAAACCACTGAGGTATCCCTCCTCCCCAAATGAGACAGAGGAAAGAGCAATCGGAAGCCTGCTCCTGAGGCACTGATGGAACGTGGTTATTGACTACAACATGGGTGAATGAGAGAATGGCCCAGTGTGAGTCACGAGACCTGGGGTCTTTAGCCAGTTCTTCCATGGATCTGTAGCTCCTCTTCCCTTTGCTTCTGCTTCCCTGCCCACCCTCTGGCTGTCTTGCTAGTTAGCTCTTCAGGGCACGGACAGACTCTTACTATGTGTCTGTGCAGTGCCTATCACCATGGGGCCCCGATCTTGGTGGGGGGCCCGAGGTGCTGTGGTAGTAGGTGTCCAACTCTAGGCACATGGTCGGAAGGGATGAGCAGCATGGGGGAGCCTGATCCTGTATTAGTGAGAGAGCTGGTGCATGGCCAACAGGTTACTCCCACCTAGTAGTTATAGCAAGGGCTAAGAGAAGAGTGCTGTAGCTAAACACCCTATTATCATGCTCAAGATCATGCACAAATCCACATCTCCTCAACCGCACCTAGTCGCCACCCGTATCCCTCCCTATTTATCATCCTACACTCTTGCAAGTAAGGGAGCAGCTGTGCAAAGGGTAGGAGGCCTCTGCTCCGTACCTTGGACTGTGTCTAGTTCTCCTTGTCTGCATTTACATTTGACTTCTGCACCCCCTAGCACAGAAGGGTGACAATGCAAAGCTGCATGTTCAAGGCCAATGGGAAAAGGAGATAGGATGTGGGTTGTCTACTCCAATCCCTTGCGGCCAGTCAAGATGGTCACCTCCAGAGTAGTTTCTACATCTAACACGAGGCCTGGGTGATAAACTGCAGGCATCTCTCCTGCCAAAGAGTCATGTGGGGACATCAAAAAGACTGGTATAACCCACTGGCTTAGTGTCAACGTCTCCCTCTAGTTACTGGTCCCGGTAAGGATGAAAGACTGCTACTTGCTAACAGCTAATGAAGTTGCTTCCCTCACTAAAGAAATACGGGCTGGTGGCATCAGTGCTGAAGGGCCTGCTGAAGACGGCCTGGCCTGTACGCACTCAGCCACAGTTCATTACACTAGCTCATGCGGCGCCCTTAAGCACAGCAGCCCCTATACCCTCTCCCATCGCAGCAAGGAAGTCAGAACTATACAACCCAGTGACACAAAGAGAGCAGAAAAACACCCCCCTCCTGACATCCAGAGCCATTGACATTAAATAAGAAGGGTGTTGTGAGTGTGATCTACACAGGAACAGGGGGAGGGGGGGAGCATATTGACGCTCGTGCAAGTGAAATTCTGCATATTCATCCCCCGCCCCCATTTCCTTTATCACTTATTCTGTAACAGCTGTTTAATTAATTGCTTGAGCGGCTTCCTAATACATCTTATTTACATACAAAATTACAGAATAATGGTTTGCCTCTGAGTCGAGTGAGAATTTAATGTCTGCTTGCCATGCATCGTGGAATATGGTTACTCAACAAGAAACAGAAGTTCTGGTTGGTTTTGGGGGCGGCTTTTCTTTTCTTCCCCTCCACAGGTTTTGTTGCTGTTGTTCATACAGGCATTAACAGCTGATGCCGGAATGATAACAGCAAGGAGGAGGCAGATGAGCCTAGGATTCAAACCCCCTGGGGGAGAAAAAGAAAGAAAGAAAGGAACTCAACATGATGGCTTCTAAAAAACTAACAAACAAACAAACAAAACCAGCCAGCCAACCAACCGACCGTCCCATCCAGCAGCAATGGAAACAATGCAACCTTATCTTTGCAGTTCAGGTTTATCCTGGGGCTGCTGGAGCTCGCTGTGCATCCAGAAAGTGTCCCACTTTGGCAGCCTTTTTTCTAAAGGAGGCCCCTTTCTCCTTTCGACAGAGGAGCCTTTTCAGCTGATGGCACTTGTGTCCCTACCACTGCAGGTAAGATCGGGCCCATTGACGTTTTTCTTTTATGAGCCTGATTACATTCAATCAGGATCCATGAACCGCAGTGCCTTGAGCCTGGAACTCATTAGCTTGAAATGCTGGACAAGTAAATGCTCCCAAGGCAGGCTAAGTTTACTTCTTTCTGGGTTTTGCTGAGAACCCAAAGTTTGGCCTTGGTTCGCTGAAAGGTTTGTGAGCCTGGACAGACTTTCGGGCTGGTTTTGCATCGCTGCAAACCATCCCAGCACTCCCCACAACGCTTCCTAACCAGCAAGCCCAGTGACACCCCCTATGTTACGTCAGAAGTTTTCTGGGGGTCTGCAATCCCTTCTCTCCTGCACACACCCTTTCTGCTTCACTCCTCCAGGGCTGGAGTGAAGCTGGCCCCCCATCCTGAGCTCTTCAAGGTTGTGAGGTGGTAACAGGTGCTCACATCCCCCATCTTTCCTTTTGTGAGGGTGGGAGGCTTGGCATAACTGCTTCCCCATCCTCCCCATTTCTTCTGTGGAGGGGTGACTTTCCCCTCTCCACCACCTCTCTGGGCAGCTGCAGGACGGAAGAGAGCCAAGTGCTGTCAACATCACAGACAGGCTGGGATCCGTGAGTCAGCTTAAGGCCCCTTGCGTGGCACCTGGGATCACCGTGCAGCGGAAAGCAGTAGGGACAGGTTGATTCCTGCCCTGCTGCTGAACAAAGGGAGGGTGGAAGAACCATCCAAGAACTAGGAAGGAAGAGGGCGTAATGGAGGCTCCCAAACAGGTAAAAAGGTGGGATTGGCCACTACTGAAAGTCTGTGAGGGGGAAGAAGACAACTATCCCCGGCCTCGAGACAGGGATGGAGGGATGGTTGAAGGTGCTGTCATATCCACCAGAAGATATTCAAGGTAAAGGGGTGTCCTGTAGCCTGCTGGGAGTAGAACAGAGCTATTCTCAGGAGAGAGGGGTGTATAACAATTTATAGCACGTTGGCTCACGGTTTTGGGACTATCTGAGCCACACAACTCAAATGAATCAGAAGGGGATTGAAACCCTGATTGTGCACATGTTTTAACTTAAGTACATGCTTAATTTCATCCCTGTTTAGCAAAGCACTCAAGCCCTGATTCAGGAAAGCATCCAGACTCAGGAAAGAGCATAAGGAACATGCTGAATCAGGGCCTTAAATCAGTGGGACTTAAACATGTGCTATAATTAAGCACGCATTCACACACTTTGCTGAATGATGGACTCTAAACACAAGCAGAGTGTCCATCACCTACTGACAGCCAGGTTCCACAGGAGAAGTCTGATCACAGGCCATCCAAAGTTCTTTCCAATATCCTTGTTACTGACGATGAAATACCAGGATTTAGAAAAGTTCCTTGCATTATGTCAGCAACATTTTTCCCCCCACCGCTGTTTCCAAGGCTGCTACTAAATCCCTATTGAGAACTATTTCTCTAAGGCAAATACACACATACACACACACACACACACCCTGTTCATTTTCATTACCGGCTTTTTCTAACTATATTCACTTAATATGGTATTTGCTTGCAACATGGTCTGCTATGTATACTGTGCTTTATAAAGCATCTCTTGGGGAAAATAACCAGAGAAACACAATTTTTCAGCACCATCTCCTTTTATTAAAAATAATGAAAGAGAAACAAGAGGCATTCCAGCAGTCAAACATCCTTCCACTGTTTCTTATTGGTATTTTTATGACAACTGAGTTGCCCAACACAGAATCTGAGATGCGGTACCTTCTTATGTTTGTGTAGTGCATTTCTACATCTGTCTTTTAGCTACTTAGCTAGCTATATACATATACATATATATATATATATATATACACACACACACATACATATAAAATGGGCATTATATCTACAGAAAGAATATAGAAATATTGAAAATACTAGACAGTACAATCTCAGTTGCAATGACTAACTTCATCCCCAGATTTCAAAGCTTGAAAGGAGAGTTCGATTATTTCACTCTATATATCAGTTCCCTCTGGACATCACGTAACAAGAGCTGCTGCAGCCTGCTCTCTCTACGGGCTGCCACCAATCACTGGCAGAGCTATTGGAATTAATTGTGCACATGTAGAAATATATCCCAAAGGTCCAATACTGCACCCTCTTTCCATGTGTTTCATATCTTCATTATTCTAGTTACAGCACTTCACAGGCCTACTGCAGTCATGATAAAGCAACTCAGCCTGTCACTGCATTTCATGGTAGACGCTCCCAACTCAGCCGAACATACTTTACCGGTGTGTCGATCTAAACGTGAAGAAGGAATGGGTTAGTGCTTGTGACACAAGCCAAATGGCCAGCGCTTGCCACTAGTAGATTTTGGTTCAGATCACTGACTCTCTCTCTAATATTAAAGCTATAATTTATACACTTGGCTGATACTCGGGGCTTGTTTTCAAGTCATCGATCATTCTGGAGCACTCATATATGATTCAGACTCACTTTACAGGTTCTTCTGCCAGCTATTGATTCTGATGAGATTATTTATCAATTACAAAAGGTTTATTCCCCACAACGCTCTCCACTAACGGATCTGCATATTTATTTTTCAGGGTGATTTATTAACATGTCACTGTACATTATGGGGAAAACCAAATTTTATGGGGTGTATATGTTAAGACCCTCTGAAAATTCCACAAGTGCAGTTAAGACAGGAATGCGTCAGAGGAGCAATGACACAATGTTCCTTCCATTTGCTTCACAAATAAAGAGACTGAAGACAAATTCAGGTCAACCCAAATCCACAGGGAAATTATCCTGTGGTTCAGAAGTGCAGTGGGACAGTCGTCAGCACGACCCCTGTCTCCATCTTTCAGAAATTCCCTATCACTGAGTCCATTAAAATCACAGTCACATCATTATTCACATGAACAGTGGGGTCAGAGGTGATGTCTCTAGTACTTGTTTGGCATTCAGCTGCTATGGAACTGTTTTACATGTGCCCTGGAGTCTTTTGCAGGATGCAGTTTTGTATTTCTAAGACTTCCTCTGGATCCAAGGCGCCATCACAGCCAGGCAACGAGTCCTACTTGCATTGCATACTTCTGCATTCATGCTGCCCTGTTTCTGATACTAACTCCCTTCTTCCCCTTACCACCCCCATTCCCCTGCCATTGTGACATCTTGCCCAGCTTCTGGCCAATGTAGGATATTCCCTATCATATGAATAGCTGTTATTTAATTTGGCTATGGAATAAGTTTGCCAAGAGTAGTCCCCCCCACCCAGTCCAATAAAAAATCCATACACTAGTCAAATATGGGCTTGTTTCAATGCAGTATTAGCTCTAGGTATAACCTGAGTTTTGCCTGTAACCTGACTCCTGTCCACACACAAAAATCTCCATCTTGAGTTAAGTGGTGCTTTGAGCCTGAGCTAGCTGGTCCACGGAGAGTAGGGGTTAACATTAGAACTTGAGCGCTGCTGAGGCTGGAGCGAGGAATGTCGTAGGGTTGCAGCAGGCTGAGTTACAACAACTCATCAGTTGCTGCTCCAAATCCCCCTGTGCAGCTCCTCTGTTAGCTAGGCCTCGTCTACACTGTGAAGTTAGGTTGACCCAGCTACATTGCTCAGGGGTGCGAAAAATCCACATCCCTGAGCTACACAGTTAAGCTGACCTAACCCCCACGGTATAAATAGCGCCAGGTCAATGGAAGAATTCTTCTGTCGAGCTTGGCTACCGCCTCTCGGGAAGGTGGATTACCTCCACCGACAGGAGAGCCTCTCCCAGGGCTGTAGAGAGCGTCTACAATGAAGTGCTACAGCATTCCCAGCACAGACAAACCCCTAGCATGGCTGAGCTGGCACAAGCGAAGTAACGAGAACGTACTAACTCAAGCTAACTGTTGCGGTGAGGACAAGCTCTATGAAAGATGTCTACCTGAACTCTTTATGTTTTATGAAGGGGAAAAGAGTTGGACTAGCTCTAACTGTTACTCTGTCCCAAATCGTTAAGATTCATGACTTCACTCTGTAGGAGCCTTTCTGTTTTGGTCTCTGATGTTTGGGAAGTAAAATAAGTATGTGAAAGGGGTAGTAAACTCCTCTCGTTCCATCTCAATCCAGTGTATTTATCCTCCCTAGCATGTGAAGTCAGGATACTTGGCATAATTTTTTAAACAGGGCACTGGGCCTGCTTACAACTTAGGTGCAACCAGAGTTTTTCCTATCAATGCCAGATGCTGCATTTCCCCAAATTGAAAGACAGGGGATAGTAGTGCATCTAATAACTTATGGGAATTCCCATTGGAAGGGCCTGGATACATCTCACTCCGTACATATTTCTTGTAGGCTGATCACCCCAGCACCCGGGCACTATCACAAGACACTACCAATTAAGGCTTGGGCAGAAGTATTGAAACAGGGTTTATGAATTGCTTAGGGCTTTGATTGATCAAACTACTACTTATAAAAGCTAGAAGTGGCTGGCCAGGTAATACTTCAGAACAAGAACCCAGAGAGTTGATCAGTGGGTGGGAGTGAGGCTTTTGGGGAAGAAAAGGTGACCACTCTATAGTCAACGTATCAAACTAAGAGTTCAAAAAGGCTTCCTACAACTCAGCTTCAGACAGAACAAACCAACATGGCTTTGTGCAGCCAGAATCATACCCCAACAAAAGAATTTTCCCAGCCAGCCACCACCCTAAAATATCATTTCCTTCTTCCTACCAGTAAATGCTGTCCATACTGACAACTAAGCCAGGCTACTCAGAGCAACTGCCTTATAGTGTGCTAGGAGGGGTCGGGGCTGGTATTACTCTAATTCATCACAGCTGGGCCTGGCCAAACTTTAATGGACAAACTCTGTGTTTGGGGCCTGCAGCTGCAGTATTTCATCTACTCAAGAGACAGGTATTAACCCTTTTCTTGCTGCTCCATGATTGGGGTCTACATACCCTATTATGCTTACACAGGGGGTTTGCTTAAGAGAACACCACATAAATTTCTGCTTTAAAAATGCTGTGTCATTGCAAATCTTAAGACCAATAGTATTTCTAAAAGCATATGAAACAGAATCCCCTCAAGACCCTCCTCCCCACACCTCCCAATCCCAAAAGCTGTTCCACAAGGAGCTCTGCAGAAAACTTTAAAATGAGCCTCCCTCTACCCTCTCAAACCCACAGTCTGAAATGAATTTGCACCTGAGCTGCTGGAGGTTTAGCCACTGCACTACCATCCAGCCACAAGTCAAAATAGCAGCTGAGATGAACCTTTCGTGGCAAGTGCAGTGCAGACTGTGCGTTTGATCATGACTTCATGATAAAATGCTTACCTCTTATGTAGCACATCTCATCCATCGATTTCAAAGCATTCCACCAATTACTGCTCCCATTTTATAGCTGGTGAAACTGAGGCACAGAAAGGTTAAAATAATTTACCAAAGGTCATACAGTAGGTAATTGGGAGAGGTGGCAACAGAACCCAGGACTCACCGGCCAAAGTTCTGTCTACTAGATCATGCCGCCTTGCTGCCAGGGCTGCTAACCATGTGACTAACATTAGCTACATCTGTAAATCTGTGCAGCATCAGATCCTTAAATGGTAGATTTTATAAGACAAGAAAGACACAAAGGGAAAAAGAGTTATTAAGATCAGAATGACTGTAATATACCAGGTACAACAATCCCTCAATGTCTGCTCGTCCTATTTTGCATTGCTAATTGACATCTCATTAAAAGATCATTAGGAAGCTGAAAAGATAAAACAGAAAAACAAAGCCCAGGATGACAGAAAGGGCAGAATTCTAGGAATTTACAGTGAAAGCTCAACTGGATGCAAAGGTACAAAATCAGAAATCAACATTCATAAAAAAGAAATGAAGATGTATTAATATATACCCCTAGCACTGCATAGAGAATTGATGTGTATGTGTGTAGATAGATAGATAGATAGATAGATAGAGAGAGATCCCCACCCCAAATATTAAAGTCAAACTGCAAAGCTTAACTCACTAACCAGGCTGTGGGTGGAAATTCATCACATTTTAAAGTGCCGCAGAAGGCTGGTGCTCTGAGCTATACTCCACTGAATCTCCAGAGATCCTAGAAGAGCCCTGGATTCGCTGGTAGGGAGGAATCATTTTTTTATGACAGGTTAATTTAGAGTATGTGCTACTGTCCTCCCACAATCCGTTTGGTGATAGCCTCCAGCACATTCATCTGTGCTTACTCCTGCATTGGCTCAGTCTGGTCCCCTCAAAATGGAGGCACTCAAAATTAAAGGCCGCTTTTGAATATCTGGGAGTAAATGACTCACCCCAGGCTGTGTAGCCTGTCAGCAGCAGAGATGGGACCAGCTAGCAGACGATTATGGATCTCAGAGCTATGCTTAGGCCATGCAGCCACATCACAGCAGTGTCTTCTTTTTCTATTTCCCTCTGCAACTCATCGGCTCCACCATACATCTTTGCCCAACCAGTCACAATTGCTCCACACGTCTCCCCCTGAGGGAAAGGCTGAGAACTGCCACCACAGGGCTCCCCAGCTCATAAGCCCAAACACTGATTTCCCTTCTGGGGACTAGAATATAGGGCAAGTCCTTGTAGCGCAGGAGGTATTTCCTCTTATTCCCGTGCAGAATATAAGTGCTTTATAAACTAAAGATAATTTTTATAGCCCTACATACAAAATGTAAATATAATTTTAGGAGACAGCATATAAAATGTAAATAGATGTGCAGCGCTATCAAAAGGTTAATAATCTCACTACAAAAATTCGTAGACAAACTCTCCTGCAGTTTAGCTGTTAACAAAGCTATTAAATTTAATTGCACTATAATTACATAGCCATATACCTAGCTGATACCCAGCTATAGGGCACACAGAGTGCTGGTTTCACCATACACACAGCACATGGGGGTTTGCCTCAGGTGCTATAAGCATCCTCAGGATTGCTTACACTTTCCCGGTCAGGCTTTATTTCAGTTGAGCACACACGTAACGGTAGCCATGGAGTTTTAATACAGGTGCGGAGGGGTGGATCTGACACATGGAATAAGGAGAGGAACATATTTTAAACAACTCACTTAGGCCTCAATCCTGAAAAGCCTTACACGTAGGCTTAACTTAACCATTGTGAATAGTCCGGTTGACTTCAGTGAACCTAAAGACTTATGCATGTGTGTAAAATTAAGTCCATGCCTAAATCTTTGCAGGATCGGGGCCTTAGCAAAGACTTTAAAGTCTCCTTACTGCTGGCTTATTGTGTCCTTTACTCATGTGCATAAAACGGATGCAAGGATCAGAGGGACTGCTTCATGATAGCCTCCTCCTAGTGCTCAAGCTAGGAAGCTGGGACAGTGGATCTATCCCTAGGCATAGCCTGTGGGACTGCCTTGCAATGGAAGAGAAGGTACCTTGCTCCCTTCTAAGGAGTGGTATTGTGGATAAATCTCCCTCCATGCCTGTGAGCCTGGGGAAGCATTGTGACTTCCACAGCTCCGTTAGTGACATGGCAGAGTCATATCACTCCAAAGCCCAGGTCTGTGCCATAATGGCACTATCTGTCCCCTATATTTAGCAACCTAGCCATCTGTACTAGAAATGGGTGATTCCATTCTGATGGGTAAGTACTGCACCAAACCTGTGAACAAAACCCCAAACCAAATACAAACCAGACTGCTGGGAGAGGGTTAATGAATTTCACTTACATTATTTTTCATCTCTGTCTGGCAGTGTACTTCTTGGATCCAGCTGAAAGTGGAAGGACTGAAATATCATGATCAAGGTAGTATCATGATTCAGGTAGCTCAGAAATCTTGTGAGAAATCACATTCCATTGAAGTCTCATCCTAATTTTGCAGACTCTGGAAGTTTGGGGAAAGTTCCTGTAAATATCTAGAGAGTTGAATGATCACTTCAATAAAGGTGTGATACAGGAGTGCTAGTAAGAGACTGTCTATTTATTATGTTGTGGATGTGGCCTTTGTCACCTATCACAGACCAGGCTTACAAATGGAGAATAGAGAGGTTAAGTGACTTGACCAAGGTCACAGAGAAAGTCAGTGGCAGAGCTGAAATAAAACCCCAGGTCGCCTAATCCTGTGCTCTGGCCATGAAGCTATACTGCATCTTAATAGTTATTAGTATTATATAGAAGTAATGCTCCAAAGGAGCTGAGTATATGGAGAGCAGAGAGAGGGGCTTAATTCAGGATATCCACCATAGTGTATCTAAGTTAATGGGCAACATTTTCAACCAGGCTGAAGCCTGGCTTCCTTGTGTGGAAGTGCAAGTTGCACCTGCCAACTTTGTGCCTGCACTTTAGTGTCTATAAATGAAACTGTGAGTGTGATTGTGAGTGCTTGCTTCTCTAATGAGCGAAGATGCACCAATGAGCCATCACACAGACAGGCAAAAGTAATTCAATTTGCTCCCATAATTTGTTTCCTGGATGCAAAAATGCACCTGCAAGTTTAGTACACATAGCTTGTGCTTAGGAAAGGGTGGGCGCCTTTTTGAAAATAGGCCCCCGTAGGAGTTAACCATGGCCGCTTGGAGGGTTTTTTCTTTAGCCACTCTCCTGTTCTATCCCTTTGATGTTCACTTGACATTTTAAGTGCTGAATCAAAAAGTAGATGGAAGAGGGATGTTCTTAGTGGTTAGACAAAGAAGTTCCAGCAAATGATCTGGAATACTCAATGACCCATCTGATTGTTTCATTTGTCTGAGACATTCATCAGGGAGTATGTAATGAACTGGCTACAGAGTGAGTAAGTGAGTGTGCCCTCAAGCCCACGGGAGGACGGAGGGAGGGAGGGCATTACTTTTTGCTCGATAGAATCAGAATTACTTCTCTGTGTGTCGCATACACTAATCTGTGACCAACTCATACAGATTCTCCTTTAGCTCAAGTGATAAGGTCCCGTGTTCTGTACCCCCTGTTGACATGAATTTTTGGAAGGCCCTTGGTATGCAGCAAAATGAAAACCATCACGTTTCATGGATTAGTTACAATTGGCAAAGTAGGTTCAACCCTCCCTCTGATCTTTCATTTTATGGACTTAAACAAACAGTAACATTAAAAAAGGAAATTGCTAGGAACTCAGTGAGCTTACCAATTAGTGGAAATTAACACACACTGAAATGATGCCATGTTAGAGCTTTTCGGGGGTGGGGGTAGGGGGCTTCAGGAGGGGTTGGGTTGCCTATGTGGGATTTGCCATCATTTTGTGCTGTATCCCGCCTTTGGCAGGGCCCAATATGTGATTGGTCAGAGGAAGATGACCTCCCCCGCCAGCCACTACTCACCTGGATAACTGTGCAAAATATGGAGAAAGGAATTACTTCCTGACACCCATGGGAATCAGCTAATGCCCTGAAGTTTTGATCATTCTTATCCTTGCACGTATAACTATTAGAAATGGGACAAACCAAAACTCCAGATCCAAACACCTGTAGACTTTTGGGAAGTTTGGATCTCGATCTTTGCAGCTGGGGCCCACCTCTAATAATGGCAGATGTTATTATTAGCCATTAAATCATCCTGCCCCTTCCAAGCATGCCGCTACTGTATTTGATTCTTCAATGAAAGGCACTATGTAAGTGCAAAGAATTATTGTTATTATAAAGCCCACCAGGAGCTCATCTGCCTCTTAGTACTCTGATGATGGTCAAAGCAATGATTTTTTTTTTAAAAAGTCTCTGCTGTTTCCCCACGAGTTATGGGGACAAGTGGGTTATGCCCACGAGTGACAGATACAAAGCAACACAAAATATGAAATGGAATAAGAGCGGGTTAGGTTTTCTCCAGGCTGGTGATTTGAATAAGTCCCATTTTATGAACACAATTATGAAGGGGTGGAACTCTCACGACACATGCCTGGTAAGAAGACTTACTGGGTAATACTGGAAGTTAAAGTGGGAAGGGGTGGTCCTTCCACCCACTGCAAGCTGTGAGATAAAAATCCTTTAAAAGGTGGGGTGGGAGGGGGGCCTTTTGTGCCAATCAGTTAGCATCACACCCCAAGGCAATAATTGCAGTGTCAAGCCTAGTGGGTTAGAACTCTCTCTGCTATTCTTCTGGGTATGTACCAAGAAGGCAACAGCTTGAAATAAGGAATGCTTCCGTTTTGGCCTCTGCAGTGATGCAGCCCATTGCGTCGCCTTTCCTTTCTTATGAATCGGCTTGGTGATCACGTCAATTTCCTCCCCTCTTTTGAGCTTAGTAAAATGACAGCAGAAGCAGCTTTTCCATCAAATGCCTAGCCCATCAGTCTGAAAGACTCCTTCGGCCGCCTAAACCCACATCCAAGCCTCTCAGATATAGCATGTGGAGGTATTTAGCTTCTTTGTGACTCAGAGATTGGAAGGGCCTTAAACTGATCATTTGCTGCTGATTATTCTCAAAATAACTAGCTTGCTCTATATCATGAAATTCTAGGTCAGGAAATGAATCACATTCCCCCCCCCCCCCCGGTGCTCCGGAGATTTATATGTTAGCTGAAGATTTGCTAGATTCTAAAAGACTTGCAAAGCCATGTCTGCGAACTCCATGGCAATATCAACCCTGTGCTCTCTGAGAGCCCTTAATGCAGACATGATTTTCCCAAGGGGATCACTGGAGTGTGGCTAGAGAAAACTAGCATGCACTGGAAGCCATATGTTTTGTGTAGATGTTTTGTCTCTCTGCATGGTACAGACACATATTCAATGCATCCTCTGTGGTTGATGTATTCTAGACAGAAGATCTAGAGGTTCCCTGGTTCAATCCCAGGCTTTGGCATACTATTTGGTCCCTTTGTATGCAGGGGTGGGCTGCTTTCTAGAAGCACAGCAGTTCCTTGAGGGGGAGAGATAGCTCAGTGGTTTGAGCATTGGCCTGCTAAACCCAGGGTTGTGAGTTCAATCCTTGAGGGGGCCATTTAGGAATCTGGGGAGTTGGAGATTGGTCCTGCTTCAAGCACAGGGTTGGACTAGATGAGGTCCCTTCCAACCCTGATATTCTATGGTTATGTAAGAGTATGCTGCATGTGTGCACACCCATGTATAAGGGTGGGCATCTGTGTGCATATGTTTTTGTGAATGCTCCTTGGAGTTGGCCCT